CTTTGAGTTTATGTAGCCTTGAAACTCGCTTTGCATTTGGTATAAGTAGCTTCAGAATAAATTCGATAGTTCACTTTGTCTTTAATTCCACCCTTCTAAGCAATTTGCCTCACATAATCATGCCTCTTTTTATTTGAACCAAGGACCTGCAGCTGTTTTTAGATTTAAGCAGTGGGCCACAACTCAGTTGAAGAGGGTAGATGTGAACTGGGGATTTATGTCCTTCAAGATTTGTTGAAGTAGGACATATGAAGGACACATTGAACAAAACATTTTGTAAAGTCATCCCTGCTCTGGCATGCAGGCTGTTACAAAAGACTGATATCAGTAACTACAAGAGATTAATCAAAGAAGAAATGTGTCTGAAAAAGTTATTTTCTATGTCTCCATTTGAAAACAGAAATATGCAGAAGTAATTTTAATTGCTTTATAGGCAAAACAACCAACCCCACAACAGACAGCTGTAAAATAACATAAAATTGAACCTTTTACTCATAAACAGTGTTAAGGATCGTCAGACACAAATGACTAACAGCTCAGCCACTTTGTCGCCTAAGATTAGGCTCTGGTAAGTGAATGTTACACACCAGCTTTGACTGTACATTATTAACCTTACTCCCTTAATAATTCTGATAGGCTAGACATTGCCTCATTTGTCTTCTGTGTAGGTGTGTCTAAAAAACAAATTACTTGACCAAAACATTTTCTTCCTGGGGGCTAGGAATAAGGTGGATAGCAATTTGGTGTCCAGAAAGAAGCTGTGTTAGCATAAATAACACAGCATTGATGACTTTGGTATGAAGCCCTCATGGCATATATGGTTGTATTTTCTGTGTAAATTATATAGGTGAAATGGCTAAACAAAGATATAATATTTACAAGTACATAATGGTCATACATTCTAGTAGCCATATTTCTTAATCAGTTTGAAGTTGTGGTTTAATATCTGGTACCAATGATTTGCTTCTTGCTCAATTTAAATCTGTTAAATCTGAAAAGTCACCAAAGGAAAAGCAACCCTTGTTCAACAAAAGCCTGCTAGTCCTCATTGTGTTTGCAATTAGGGAAATTACTTGTTGCCAAACCTTTAAAGTTATACTTGGAAATTTACTGCAGTGAGTCATTTTGTTGAGCTTACATTATGTTTCTGAGGCCACTCCCTTAAACACAAAAATCATATGTTTTTCCTCACAATTGTGCGATCTGGACATGACTTGTTTACTGCTCGCAGCTTTAGAAACACATCAAAGTTCACAAAAGACAGTCAAGTCAAAATATAGGTTTTATGAGAATTCCAGGTCACATACAGTGATTGCAACAAGAAACCTGTTTAAATGTCCCCACATTCTCATACATAGAATAAAAGGACAGAAATAATAGAGTAGAAATATTATATTTTATTATGAATTTTCCCTAAGTGGGTAAATTCAGGTGCAACAAAGTGGCAGGTAATCAACGTATATAGATTCACACAAAGATGAAAATATAAAAATTATAAAAACACAATTAAGAATAACACACAGTACAGTAAAGGTTAAATTACAACACAAAATATTTTTCAAAAAACATACTGTGATCCAAAGAAATGTGCAACTGAGTAGGATAATTTAAGAAATGCACAATGTTTACACGTATCTGTCCATTAAAAACCAAAGACTGCTTACAATACGTGACAATAAAAAACTGTGCAAACAGCAGAAATATAAACACCTATTAAATTTGATGGGAACAGTTATCGTTATAGAGTCCATTAACTACTGAGCCGAAGGATCTTCGATAACATGACTTTCTGTGCACTGGAGATGCAGTAAGCTGTAAATGAAGGAGCTCTCCAGTTCTCAAACAACTTCATGAATGGAGTGGGTGTCATTCTTCACCAGTGATGTTATCTTAGCCAGAGGTGTTCTGTCACCACCACCTGCAATGGGTTGAGGTGTCTTCTTAGCAAGGAGCTAGCCTTTGTGATGAGCTTATTTAACCACTTCCTGTCAGCTGTAGATAAGCTGTTGTTCCAACATACCAAAGTAGGTGGCTGATGGCACCATAGGGGCAAAAATGTCTTCAGAAGTGACACCTACTATGGTGAGGCACTGACGTCAATCAACCTGAGTGAAGTGGGCCCCTCATCTTCTTGAAATCAGACAAAATTGATGTCAAACGTTTGTGCTGCGTTCGTGCTGGTTTATGCAGTAAATTTTTTTATTTGTGTGCTATCATTTTAAAGATATAAAGAAATGTTTCTAGAGGTCATCAAAGGTCAACCAGCCCCCCCCCCCACCTTCTTCAAATCAAACAAAATGGGTGTCAATTAAATTGACTCTGTTTGTGCAGCAAAATTTTTTGTTTGTGCTGCTTTGGCTTTGAAAATATTTATAAAATGTTAAAGGTCAAAAGTCAACCAGCCCCCCCGCCCCCCGCCACCACTTTTATGAAATCAAACAAAATTGGTGTCAAACGTTTGTGCTATGTTCCAGCACAAACATAGCAGACTTGATTGACACCTATTGTGTCTGAGTTGAAGAAGGTGGGGGCTGGTTGACCTTCAATGACCTCTAGAAACATTTCTTGATATCTTTAAAATGATAGCAGCACAAACGAAAATTGTTGCTCCACAAACATAACACAAACGTTTGATACCAATTTTGCCCGATTGGAAAAAGACCAATCGGGCACCTGAACCAGACCAAGTTTAATTTGTGGCAGCAACTTGTGTGACTTGAATATGCTCCCAAAACAAAAGTGGTAGTTTTCTTTGCCTACTGACAGATAAGAAACAAAAGAATTTGGCTTAAATTCTAAACTTTTAGCACTTCACAAAAATGCTCAATGTGTGATCATTTCATTGTGAGGATAGAAAAGCCAAGGGAAGAAAAGATGTTAGCGAGTTGCTAACATGTAAACAAATGGTGGTTCCGGTTAGCAGCGGAAGTCACACCCATAAATCACGCAAAGCCTCCTAGGGCGAGGAATAAGGTGGATATTCCTAAAAAGCAGGTTCCTGGGGCTAGGAATAAGGTGGATATTCCTAGCCCCAGGAACCTGCTTTTTAGTTTCTCCAAATTGTCCTAGAGAGTATGGAGCAAGTGAAAAAAAAAAAAAAGATAGAAAAAGGGTCAACTGGACTCACTGGATGGAAACAAATCTCTTGTCTTCTCTGTTTTTATTTCTGCATTTGGCCTCAAGCAACAACTACTAATAATGTGAGCCAGTCATAAAGTGGGACATTATCTCAGCCTGTGGGACAAAGGGCAGGGAAAGAATGCCTTTTAGTTTTAGAAAAGGAGATGTGGTCACCAAGAGCAGAAGTTCCAAACATTTTTAGCTTCTGACATAAAATATCAGAGGAAGAGATCCTAGCCATCAGTTGAGTAAGCAGATAATGTACAGAATAACAACAAAAGCAGAATCATCATCCAAGATTTTGCTGATTTTATGTCTTCTATTATTTAATATGCCACACCACATGCTGTAGTGTGGCATATTGGTGATCAGCCTGAGGCTCTAATGAGGTGTTAGAAAAGCTCTGCTTGCTTTTATATTGGCTTTCAGTTTATCAGCATCGTTTGGTTTTCTGTCTCTCATCTTCTCAACAAAACCTTACAGATTCTCTAACGGTTTTAGGTCAAGCCTGTTTGCTGGCCAATCATGCAAAGTCATTATGATGGTACCAGTAACTACTTTCGATATTGTAGACATGAGAAAAATCAGTATCTCCATATCATGTGTCAAAAGAGAAGTGCTAAAAAAAACTTCCTGTTTGACAGTTGTACTGACTCTGGACTTGCTCTAGCAGATGTAATAATGTCAGTAACCATGAAAACATCGCACTTGTCTTCAAGTAACTTGGATTTTCTGCTGCTCACCCCTCTCTCCACAATTTGAAAACTTGGTTTCAAAATGAAATGCAAAACTTAAATCGCAAAAGAGCCCTTTTCGCCCTCAGCAGCAGATATTGTGTCTGTTTCAGGGATAGTTTAAAACAAGGTATGTAGTAGTTGTGTCTATGTTACTGGAATCTTTGAAGAAGCCAATTTCAAAATAGATATATATTTTTAATTACTATTGTTCCATGGAAAGAGTAGTCATCTTTTAATCCAAAAGTTGAGGGTCTGATTCAGACTTTCTCCTGTCACGTGTCAAGGTACCACTGGGCAAGACACTTAATCCCCAGTGGCCTACCAATTTGCATATTGGTAGATAAGCGTTTGTGAGTAAGATTGGGTGAATGTTGCTGCAAAGCACTTCAAGTTGTCAGTTAGAATAGGAAAGCGGCACATAAATTTAGTCCATTTACGGTTTTAAGAGCTGTTTATGTGGGACTTTGACAGCAGTGACATGCAGTCAAAAGACAGTAAAAAATAGTAAATACATTTTTTTAGCATCAGTGTAATATCAGAATAAATTCTAGAAAACACTGTGATCAAATTGGATGTTCATATTGACCACCCAATCCAGGCCCTGAATTTGGCAGTATGAGGGGTTGTGGAAACACTGACTTCAGCTGCAGTTCACATCTTGTGAATTTCCCCAAATTCAAGTTTTTTTGTTGCACACCTTCTTCTGCCACACTTTTTCAGTTCACTAAAATTTCTGTTGATATATTTGTAAATATCAATATCTGAACAGCAAAATCATTTACCTTTCATTACCTTTTCTCATTGCCCTTTTTGTATAGCGTGTCAGCTGGACAATTTTCAAGTCAGAAATCTTCACCCTGATTATGGAGGTTGTACTGGAATATTTCTATATTGAAATGTTTAATGTTAGTCTTATTTCAAACTGAGAGCAAGGAATTAAGACATACTATTTACTTTTTGAATCGAATTATTAAATAAGCTATCTGTCTGATATTCCAGACTTTGTACATTTTTTTTAAAAACCTGTATTAACTATGAACTTTTTTTAAAATTAGGAAGCTCCTCCCTACCTGTAGGTGTCACTACAGTGGAGCACCCCCTCCTCCCTCCCTTTTATTTCAACCGACTCTCTCCTCCTCCCATCCAGTAAAACCTCCGCGAAAGGGTGTGCGTTTTGAAGGTTGTATGAAGCTATAATATGAAGGGAGACACGACGAGTCACTCTAGAAGATCCTGTAATCGAAGCAGCGTTCACCAAATGTGTTTCCCTCAATTCCCTCTCAGCTCAGCTTCCCCGGTGACAACCAAAGTGTCCTTTCTCGAAAAACAGTGAAGATGCCGCTGAGACGGATATTACCTGAAAGTTTGAATACCTGTGATGCGCAGTAAAAATGCGTTGTGAAAGCTGGGCTGGTTCCCTTCAAGGTCAGAATCTGAGCAACGCCGCCGCCTCACGGACGAACAGCTTCAGGAGACGAAGAGGAAGAACGGGCGCAAAGGAGGAGAAGGGTATGCGGTTGTCTCTTTTGCCTGCATTCAGCATCAGCAGTGACATTTCTTACTAAAGACGCTGATGGACACCAAAAAAGAGAGGGTGAACTTGTAAAACACGTCTGTCCGGAAGTGGTCTGCTACAGCATTGGTTATTGAGGTAAAGAAAAAAAAAAAAACAACTCTTCAGCATCTTGCCGTTTCCTGCTTTCTTCCAAGGGCAGCAGCGTTCGGTGACGGTTTACCTGACCGCTGCTGCACGCGACGACGTTCAGTCACAACTAACTAACGTCAACTGACTACATAAATAGTCAGTTGGTTCGGTTTCAGGTAGCCGACTTGAACGGTTCGTGTTGGAAGGGTTGTTGAACTATTTCAACATAAAAGAGTTGAAGCCAGCTCAACTTCCTTGCTCTTGACGCGGTCTTCTCTTTCCTTTTACAGGGTAGTTTCTTGTTTTTTTTTTCTTTCAACAATATTTTCGAGGATGGCAACGCGAGGTCGCAGTGGCTTCGGTCGGAGTTTACCGGAGCAAGGACTGCTCCTGCTGGCGATACTGGTGCTGCTGGATGGCACCGTGATGACCCTCGAAGCAGAAGTCTCCTCCGAAACCGACACCCATGAAGGGAAGAACAACATAACCAAGAAGTTATTCCCCGTCCTCGGCATCAAGTACGAGGAAGTCAGTATCCCCTTTGAAATTTCACTGTGGGTGCTTCTGGCCTCTTTAATGAAATTAGGTAAGTGTCATTTTATTATGTGGTTACTTGGTTTCAAACCTTAGAATTTAAATCAACATTTTTCAGTTAGTACTAGCCAAAAAGAAGGTTATGAAGTTCCCAATTAAAGGCGTCCTAATCATAAGTATTTGGTGACCCAGTCAGTGTAAAGACACAAAGTTACTAAAAAAACAAACAAAAAAAAAACACATAAAAATTTCAATTTGGATATGTATTGATTTAAAATTCTGTAACTATACCAGATTATAGACTTCTATAATTAAGCAACAGTCATCTCAGCTCCAAGCTTCCAACACAGTCAAGTGATATGTTTTAAAATCAATTATGGCTGCAAGATATTTGGAAAACATACTGCAATAACATAGTAAATATAATGGACATATCTTTTATTGATAGCTCACATTTTTCTCGCTTTAAATATACTTTGACATCATCACAATATTATGTTTATTCTCCTTAAGCTTTAAGATATCGGTCACACATCTAGATCAGATATGGACATAAAGATCAATTAAAGTATTTTCAAGAGGACAAGTATATTTTTGGAAAGTAGAGGTGTTTTGCATAATACTGGGAAATATCTTGCTAAAAATGTTATTCAAGCATTCCTCTGTGATTGCAATATTTCATTCCATATATTGTTGTTAGATTTGATGTCATATTTATACTTTGACAAATGCTCATTTATGCAGCATTCTGTTTGTATTCGTATGAAATTGATGCTTATGTAAATGTATCCTTATTTTTTGATCTGCTCAGTAGCTCTATCACAGTTACATCTTTATAAACTAATTGATCAGCTTGGTTTTACATTAAGTGAAAGAACCCAAATTTAATTGCAGTCAAAGAAAGTTTAAATTGAGATGCTGTTTATTATAATTAGTAGTAATTGGGGTTTATTTTCTAATATTCAGAATGTTAGGAAAGCTGACAAAAGTATTTTTCAAATTAAGAAACTGAGTACCACTTCTTTCCACATTACTGAAGTGTATTTACCATAACCAATTAATGTCAATCAATTAATGTATTTTGTGATTAATTGATTGATAGCAATTAATCGATTCATTGCATGAGGCTTAACCATAGCTCCCTGCCATAAACCAAAGAATAAGACCATTTTCATTCCTCACATCTGTGCAATCAGCTTCTTAGCATGTCGTAACTCTGTTTTAAACTACTCTTTATTTTTTACATCTGCCAACTTTTTTAAAACAATTTTGCAAATGTATCTTGATTGATAGCTCGTTTTAATTTTTGTTAAATTATGGATGCGAGGCAGACAATCAACTTCTAAAAAAACAGGTAAAAATCTGGAAATTGTTTGTTTTTGAGACAGTATTATCAATACAATATACTTACATATTTACTAATCTAATGTCCTAAAAATTCCATCAGCCCTTTAACTGTCAAGTTTATCAACAGTTTGAGGTGCCTACTAAGACTGTGACTTGTAAGCTTACATAACACGTTTGACCGGAATAGCTCCATAGTTTGAGGTTGAACCTTTAAGGCAGGTTGCTCCTTAGATCCGTACGCCTTTCGGACCTCTTAAAGCTGCCTCCTACAGTGATGACTAAGCAGCTTAACCAAAAAGTCTACATGTAGAAAAATAACTTTTATATTTTCGAATTTTTCCAGACATGTCCAGTTCATGATGCTATGTGGTAAGACAGAGTCTCACAGTATTTCTGCAATAATTATTTTGAAAAACAAAAGACTTTCAGGAATTCACTCAGTTTTTGTGAGCAGAGGGGTGCGCACCATAGAATTTCTTCAGTAGCTCTAACCTGTTTCCTTTCTCTTTGAACCCTTTTCTGTCTTCAGATATTATTCCCTCTGATTTTCTCTTCCTTCTTGTGGTGTGCTTCTGTCAGAACACTACATTGTTCTCAGCTTTTCTTGTCTTATTTTTATTTATTTTTTTCTGAGAGCTAGCAGCCTGTCACTTGACTGTTACATCAGGAGCCTGATTGAGCAGCAGCTTGTAGACAAGAAGGATGCTGCCTCAGTGTCTGGGCAAGGAGCCAGTGTCTCAGGGGAGGGGAGACACTGGCCACCTGGCTCCAGTCGATTTCTTGCAGGACACAGCTCAAGGACGTAAAAAGAAAAAATGTCAACATACGGAAAGTAAATGAATTAATCAACAATTGATAAAATAATAAACAACAGACAAACAGAAAGTAAATGGTCTTGAGGCAGGAATTTGGAGGATGTTTGGTGGGTGATTTAATGTTGCTGCTATAAGAGTCACTTTTGGCAGTTTTTCTTGTTTTTGATTATAGACTTTCTGTTTACATTTAGTGAAAAGACCGAAGTATAGTATCATTTTCAGATAATACTTTGAATTGATCAAGGGGGACGATAGTGGCTCGAGTGATTGCACAGATGGTTTTCACCTCGGAAGTGTTTTTTGCACCTCACTATCTGCTGGAGGTGTTGACATGAAATGGGGATGTCATTTCCCACATCTACCACAACCAGAAAAGAAGATGAAACGTGTGTGGCATAGCGATACAGTACAAAACAAATACAGCAGCAGCACAATGAAGCATGATTGTAAGAAGAGCTTCAAGGATTTATCCACCAGCGGCCCACTTTATTTTTGTGATAAAAATGTTATAAGTTGACAGAAAATGTGTAAATATGACTAGGTTATTTTATATTATCGGAAGATGTTATTGATAATACTTACATACCAAAAATAGAGTCTTAAAAAGGCAAACCCCAGAAAATGCTATCAAAATTGTACAAAGTAAAATCAGGTGGGCCACCATGCTTATAATGCAGTGGGGAAAACCCTGAGCCTTCATCCTCATCACAACTTGATGAGGATGAAGTATATCAACTTTGTGTCTAAAAGTTTCTGTAGTGTCTTAAAATCCTTGGGTTTGACCATATCAATTTTTAAGGTCTAGCATTTTTTTTTCCAACTTTAGGCCTTAAAAACACATAAAAATAATTTATATCAATAAATTAAATTATATTTTTATGGACTCTATAATGTTAGAGTGACCGAGTTGTACACCTCCCTTGGTTCTGTGATCCTGGTTGCATGTTCTAAAAGCACCCTGTGACTTCCGCCTGATTGCCTTGTGTCATGTGAATGATGCAAAAATGAGTGTGATTATGTGCTTATTACACAACTATTATCTGAGAAGGCCTTTTGAAGTACATTCTCCATGACTATTTCATTTGCATCCCCCTCCCTCTGATGAGGTTGTTGTAACAGGTTAGCCTGGTCCAGTTGGGTTCGCCCTCCTTGTATGATTCAGAGCGGACCAAATATTCTCAGAAGGACTGTGTTGCTTCCGTGTAAAAAATCAATGAAAGCATACAGTTTCATTCAATAGCTGATACATGAGCTTAGTTTGTGCTGTTGCTGGAGTTTGGCTGCAACCCAAAACTTGTTTTTCTCACGTGGGAGAGAACATCGTAAAGAGCATCAGTTAAAAAAAGTTATACTAGAATATGCTTTTCTTTAGTTTATGGGAGATTAGTGAAATTTTTATATTTTCTTAAAATTATTAAAACCCTTTATTATTGATTAATGTTGTGGTGATATTGTAAAATAGCAAGTGATCTTGCTATTTTAACTGCTGCTGAATACCTAATAATAGAGAGATTAACATGAAGTGTTTTTTTAATGACTCGTAGTACTTATCACATATTTATTATGTTTCAGGGAATTTTTTTTTCATTTGTGTGATGTTTTCTCAAAGACTACAAACTATATCAGACATGGACACAGAGAATGAAAGTTCCCACAAAGAAAATGGTTTGTTGACTTGTCCTTGGCCTTAACAGGAGACTTAGATGGACCACTGATCTATTCATAAATTCTCAGAAGGCATTTGGGGTCAGAGGTTTGAAATTATTATAGCCTGACAGGTTGCACTATGTAGTTGTGCAATGTGAACTGAGAATTTGTTATCCAAGCAGAAGAGAGTTCACATTTATCTTCTATCTGTACCTGCAGCTTGTTTAGCAATTGTTAAAAATCACATTTATTGTATTCAGATGAGTAATCTCACTTTTTGTTTGAGATTTTTTTGATTTTGGTGGCCATTATTTCATATTACTTGATGGGCATTGTGGACAGGGGAGACCTGCAGTACAAGGCCCATGGTCAGGAATAGATAACAGATGAACTGCTTCTAGGACTATATTCACTGTATATAGTGCACAGTCACTACCCTTTCAAATACTGATTTTATCTTTGTCAATACTATGTTAGGAATGTTGATGTTGTTAGAAACATGTTGTTCAGACAAGGTTGCTTCCTAAAAACACATACCTGAAACCTAGAAGACAAAACAAGGAAGTGCTAGACTTCACTTATCACCTTTTTATATGTTGCTGGTCAGTAACCTGAACTTTAAAATTGTCCTCATCTATAATACTTTCATGGAAGAAAAAGTCCTAGTATTGCATTAGAAAGCACAGTTTGATAAGTTCAAGGCAATATCACAAAGTATGCTTTGCTTATCTTTACTATGTTATTTAGGTTAAGACTTGGACAGGAAGACTTCCAGGTTATTGACAAAGAAGGTTATTGACTTTCCCCTATTCTTAAGTACCACTGTACTTGTGCAACATTTCTGGGGTAAAAGATTTAAGTCAATCATGAAACTGGCTATTATTATGTTTTTTCAGCCACATAGTGACATTTTACGACACAGTCAAGTAACTGTTACATTCAGTTGTTATAAAAATGTTTTATACATTAAAAATAACTCAGAATAAATTTGACTTTGCATTATAGGATTTTCTGATACTTTGAAATTGGCCTCTAGTTCTTTAAGAAGGTAATTCCCTTTCCGTCATTCCCTCTTTAGCACGACAGTGCTTCTCCATGATGTTGCTTACAACCATTTTTTGTTTCCCTTTCTGTACTGGGTGCTTCTTATCTCTTCCTTTTTGTACCTCTCAGAATCCTAATGTAGCTTGTATTTAACCTAGCAATCAACACTTGCCCTAACATGTTGCAACATGTCCTCTGT